CCATTTGGAATATGGCTGTAGCTTTTCATTCTCACAGTGTCCAGTATGTACATTTATCTCTGCTTCTTTCCTCTGCAGCTATGAGTGCTAATCAGTACATATCAGTTAATTTATCATGTCGAAGGTAAGGGAACTGAACAGAAGTTTAAACCGGTAGGTCTGAGATTTTTGTGGGAACTTTCTTTTGTGTTTATTGGTAAAAATATGTCTGGCAGGCAAATTGGGTTGCGATTTGCAGTTATGCTGGATATCCGCACCTTTCAGCCTGTTACATCTCATTTCATAGAACCTAAGGGGCCTTTAATGACATGCTTAAAAAATGAGAATTGTCAAATGTTATGTGTATACTCAACACTGGTGTGTGGTGCAAAAACTTGGACAATGAATGGGCAACTAGAGAATGAAATTGAGCTTCTGGAAATGTAGATATACAGAAGAATAGGGTTGTATTTCTTGGAAACACAAAACTATCATATACTGAGATTCTGGGGGAAATGCCAATGAAAAGAGTTAATAAAAGAAATAGAGACAGTTCATATATTTTGGCCACATTAAAAGACACAACTCTCTTAATTAAAAAACCACACCGGTGAGAAAGGTCAAGGGCAAGAGATAGACAATGATACAAGTGGGATGACAACATTAAGATATGGACAAATAGCAGTCTGAGAGAGTAAAACCAAAAGACAAGCAACAGAGCATGTTGGGGATCATTGTAGCCAACCTTCATTGTGGAGATGGCATCCTGATTGATTGATATGACATGCTTAACTCTTTGAGTCCCTGGGGTTTAGCATCACAGGCCCACAGGGTAGTAAAGAGAGACATAAAATTGGCGCATCATGCGTTCATTGGGCTTCTAGGTAGGAAGGTATGAACGTATGATGCGTTCCTTGGTACTCAAAGAGTTAAGCAGCAGGTTTACCTCTCCCCCCCTACCCAGCCCCAATAATAAAGTCCTAGAACAGTCGAGGAAGAAGTATCAACCTGTACATGCCAATGTGTTTATCATACTAAATATGAAGGTACCAGGTGAAAGCTTCAGATGTGTAGATCTGATTTTGTTTGGGTGTGAATAACACTTGAAGTTTTGACCTTTCAGTGTGATGTGATGCACATAACCACAATGACTTGACTGAACATATATATTATTATTACTGGATTGCATTTTTTCTTTGCTGTAATAAAAAAAAAAAAAAAACCACCTGCTGCATTACTATATACTTGCTTATTGAACTTTGAAACAAATATTTTTTCATATTTGTTGCATATTATAAATCTGTTAGTAAATGCTTATCAACAATATGTGTTTGTTATTTTTTAACATTAATCTACATTGTTGTTTCATGAGTATATGTAGAAGCTTACTTTTTGTCTCTTCATCTTCTCCTCCTTACTTTCCGCTACTTCTTCTTCTTCTCCATCCTTCTCTTTTGCTTTTGCCCTTCTTCTTTCATCAACATTAACATCTTCTTCCTCATCCTTTTGTTTCTTCTTCCTCCTCATCCTTTTATGTTTCTTCTTTTTGCTCATCCTTTTGTTTCTTTGTTTTCTTTTTCTCCTTCTTCTCTTCCTCCTTATTTTTCCTCTTGTTCTTCTTCCTCCTCATCTCCTACTCCTTTTCTTCTTCAAGTAAAGTTTGCCTAGATTTGGTAGAGCAAAATGCAAACATATAAAGAAATGATATTAAAAAACAGACTGACAAAATGGGCAACAACCTGGTACACCAAGGTTAGAGGGTGCTACGCAAGCGATTGGCTGGTCCTTCGCTTGCCGGCCCCATAGGTTCTTGGCTTGAATCGGCTTCACAACATATTTTTTTCTTCTTTTATAAGTGACCTTGATTCCCAGGTCAACCCAGGCACAGATTGGTACAAAGAAGTATCAAGGAAGTCAGGGCGGATTAGATGGTGCTGACCACATCTGCCACCAAATGCTGATTGGTCTGTTAAAATGATTCCAGCCCAAAGTTTCACTGGCATGAAAACAGTCTTTTGGGTGAATCAAAGTAAGAGTCAGAGAAAACAAGCGCCTGAGGAGAATAATAAACATAAGATATGATGAATTCAAGAGGAGCGAATGAATGAGAGAAGTTTGTAGTTTGAATAACAGACCAACATCATGGCACACGGGTAGTAACCTGTAAGTGCTCCGTTCTTCTTCTAACTCACGTCTGAGTCCAAAGGATCTCAGCACAATGCACAGGCTTTGTAGCACCGTGAAGGATCCTGATACTTTGGGTAGATTTTTAACTCCAAATTTAGGCTACCTTATCGATTTCCAACTGCTAAAGGATTTTTTACATGCGCAAACAATGCACACGGCGTCCGACCTCACTACCCACAGACCAGGGGGAATTACTAGAAGTCCAAGTACGCGTGAAAAAATCCCAGCCCTTACCAGGGATTGAAACCGGAACCTACAGCACTCGAGGCGAACACCATATCTCGAGACCACGTAGCCCCCTGGGAATGAGAGAAATGTCTGGGCAACTACCAGCTTCAATAGTTATAAAACAGAAGATGGCACTGTATTGGATACCCTCTGAGAAGAGACTTAAATAGAATCTCCGGCTATCCTCCGCTCTCAATGTTGCAGGCTTTTCCAGGCACGGTTCTTCTTCTTTTTTCTTTTGCCTTTCTATCCCCCAATGGAACATAGGCCCTCAACCAACTCATGCCAAGTCGTTCTGTCCTTCGCCATTGCATGGAGCTCTCCCCATGTCCTCCCCATCTTTCTAACTTCATTCTCTAGCTCTCTTCTCCATGTGTTTTTTGGCCTTTCTTTATTCCTATGCCCCTGTGGGTTCCAATGCAAAGACATTCTAGTTATGCTGTTTTCTCAGTGTGTGTCCTATCCAACACCAGCGTCTCTTCCTCACCTCTTGGTCCACTGGAGCCTGTTTAGTTCTCTCCCAAAGTTCTACATTAGTTATTCTATCATACCATTTAATTCCCTCTATTCTGCGCAGGCACCAGTTAATGAATGTGTAATTTATTAGTAATTGCCTTTGTTGTTCTCCATGTTTCCGCCCCATACAGTAGTACTGATTTGACATAAGAATTAAAAAATTTTTAGTTTAGTATTTCTATTAATTTTTTTTGACCTCCACAAATTCCCTAGAGCTATGAAAGCCCCTCTTGCCTTTTGTATTCTTATTTTAATATCTCTATCAGTTCCTCCATCTTTATCTACATTACTGCCCAAATAGGTGTACGACTCCACATCTTGGAGTGGGGCGCCATTAAGAGAAACAACATTACTATTTGCCTGATTTATTCTCATTATCTTTGTCTGTCCTTTATGGATTTTCAGACCAAGCTGCTGTGATCTCACATCAAGTATATTTAATTTATCTTGCATCTGATTCTGTGAATGGGACAGAAGAGCAATATCATCAGCGAAGTCCAGATCATCAAGCTGTTTTGTAGGGGTCCACTGAATTCCGTTTTGGTGTTAGCAGTTACTGTTTTCATAGTCCAGTCTATAGCCAGTAAAAATAAGAAAGGCGACAAAAGACATCCCTGTCGCACACCTGTTTTTATTTCTTCTTCTTTTTCTTTGCGTTCACCAGCTGTACACTCTGGCGTAAAGTTCTGGTTGTTCGTCCACTTCTGGACTGCAGTCCTGCTCCAGAACCTGAGTGTTGCGTGTGCATCAGTTTTACAGATCTGATTCAATTGAATGTAGACTGCTGGTTCCTTGCCTCTCAGGCAGATGCACTCCGACTTCAAAGGAAGCTCCCCAGTTAGTCGACTCTTACGACATGCTTTTGGGGAGGCAGTGGGTCTATTCTTGTTTTCCCCACAATAGGGCCCCGGAACCCACACGGGGGATTTTTTTTTAAAATTCAAATGCATCTGTTAGCTTTCTCTCATGAAGAACTCGACATTTCATGTCTTTATATGTTGCCTTTACTAAGTTGATAATTTTCTGTGGGATTCCATAGTGCCCCATCAATTTCCAGAGAGATTCCCTATCAATGCTGTCAAATGCATTTTCATAGTCTATAAATCCAATGTAAAGTGGTGAGTTCAGTTCAATGCTTTGCTCTATTATAATACGTAATGTGGCTATCTGGTCAGTACAGTATCTGTTTGACCGAAAACCTGCCTGCTCATCTCTTAGCTTTTTATCTACAGCATCTTTTAATCTTTCCAAAATAATTCTTCTTAAAATTTTTTCAGGAACTGACAGCAACATAATTCCTCCATAGTTTTCACACTCCTGTAGATCACCTTTTTTGGGCAGTTTCACAAGATATCCTTCTCTCCAGTCTGCTGGTATTTCTTTGGTCTCCCAGACTTTACTGAATAATCTATGTAGAAATTCTGTTGATGTGTTTATGTTGGCCCTGATGGCTTCAGCTGGGATACCATCTGGGCCTGACGCCTTTCCTTTTAAGAAGATTGATAGTTTTTCTAGTGTGGAGAAAGGAATCAGGTACGGATAAGTGACCTTCAATTAGCCAGGGTTCTCACCCAATACCTCTTCAAAACCTGACGCTGAAAGGCAATACAGGACGGGAGAAGAAGGAAAAAGAGCCAGCTATGAGTCCTTTCTATGGTCGATGTGACAATATAAGTCTTCTCCTTTCAGGAACAATCAGGGTAGAATTTGGTTGACGAGAAACAGTCGTGTTCTGCTCGTTCTTTTTTTTTATGGATTTATGACATTAAAGAGCTTCTACATCGGCACAGAATGAACAGTAACCATTACTGCCTATCAAGCAGTGGATCGCAAACTGCTCCTCCCTAGAACGCTTAACGGCAGAAGTGAAAATTATTAATGATGATGATCAATATTATACGGTGACCGTGGAAATAACCCAGATGTGAAGTCAACATTCCGTTACTCATGTAAACAATATGGCGGCTTGTTACTAGCAACAGCATTCATTATGCTTGCATTATCTACGTGAAATCTTTCTTTACAACAGTGACAACATATACCTAGGATTATATGTGATGTTCTGATACAGATTTAACATACATGCCATAATGGTGTTATTCGATAATGTGTATGTTGGACAACGTGTCGAGGTTCTGTGGAATAACGGAATATACAGAGGCACGGTGCAGTTCAGAGGTACCATAGCCACAAGAAAGGGGGAGTGGGTAGGTGTGGCCCTCGAGTTACCAGGTAAATGAGAAGCATATTAATTAGTTTATCAGAAATCTTTATGTGAATTTTGTTAGAGACATATACGGCCAATGGGGTCGTAAATAGTGTTGAATTGTGTAACGTAACTGGGTACGGAGCTAACCTTTACATCGAAGACATTCACAATCAACAATAGGTTAGACGGCATATCTGTGCCCCTAAAAGCCAGCACCCGCGCAGTAGATACCAAGCTTCTAGCATTTAGCTCTTCAACATTAGACGCTGACGAGCATCAACAATAGAAATAAAGGCAGACTAAAAGACATGAAGAGAGGAATTAGAAATTAAAGTTAAAACAGGATCGAGAGGACATGTGGTGAGCTGCATGCAATAGCAAAGGATAGAAGACCTTAGTAGGAGTTGGGGCTATCCTCCGAATAACGGTTCCAAATTATCGAGGCTAAGAAAATACCCGAACAGGGCCTCAGTCATGTGTAAATCGCAGACCTCTTTCGGCGACTATACCGCCACCGCCAAGAGTATCCCCCGCGACGCTGATGCTATGTGTGGCGCGGAGGGGGGCTAAACTAGATGGCTGGGACTAACGAGCAAATAAAATGGAAGAAGCTGCTGGAGGATTGGTAGCTGCTGCGCATGAGTCCCAGCCATCTAGTTTAGCGGTGCAGGGAAAACTCGGCAGTGACTTTAACTTGGCGGAAGCTTTCCCGTGATATGTGGTATAGTCGCCGGAAAGAGGTCCGCAATTTACATATGACTAAGGCCCTGTTAGGGTATTTTCTTAGCATCAATAATTTGGGATTGTTATTCGGAGGATAGCCAGAGTTGGTCAAGGACCTATGCTCCATTTAGACATAAAGATCAGAAGAAGAAAAAGAAAGAATGGAATTGCCAAATTTTTTTTTTAGACCAGAGACTTTTTTTGGTTCAACATCAGCTTCTTATAAATTTTATACTTTAAAATAAGGAGCAAACAACCCCCCCCCCCCCCCCCCCTTCTCTCTCTCTCCCCAAGACCACACAAAAACATGTATATACACATACACAGACCACCCTACTACCCACCCACGTACATACATAAACAATAAACACACTCATGCACACACACATCCAACCCACCCACCCATCCATACACACATATATCCATACACACATCCATCCATACACACACCCATCCATACACCCACCCATCCATACACACATCCATCCATACACACACCCATCCATACACCCACCCATCCATACACCCACCCATCCATACACCCACCCATCCATACACCCACCCATCCATACACCCACCCATCCATACACACATTCATCCATACACCCACCCATCCATACACACATCCATCCATACACCCACCTATCCATACACACATCCATCCATACATACACACATCCATCCATACACCCACCCATCCATTTTAATTGGTAATTGGTTGCCACAGTGGTTCTCAATTCGGTCAGACTCACAGACCCGTCTTTTTTTCAAAGTTTGGCTATGGACTCCATACTTGTTAATTATCATCATCAGTCAGCAGGTTTTCTTACAGAACATCACTGTCACCATTCTATGCATGAAAGTCTGTCTTTATCTAGCTAACTCTCCAGCCCTATGTGCTTTCATAGCCAATACATCTTCAAAGTCCTGTATCCAGTTTCATGGATATCTGCCATTACTTCATTTTCTGGAAACTGTACCCTTTATCACCATTCTCTCTGAGCCACCCTGATGTTTAACGTGGCCAAAGGATAACAGAATATCCTTTTTAATAGTCATGTTAAAAATAAACAAAGATTAAATCAAATTTAGAATTCTGCATGTTTATTCCTGTAGGGGAAAACAAGAATAGACCCACTGCCTCCCTAATAAAGATGTTGTGAGTCAACTAATAGGGGGGCTTTCTTCAAAGTCAGAGTACATCTGTCTAAGAGGTAAAGAACCAACAGTCTGCGTACAAATAAGTCAGATATATATAAAATGGATGTGCACGTAACACTTAGGTTCTGGAACAAGACTTAAGTCCAGAGGTGGATGAACACCCAGAACTTTCCACTGGAGTTTACAGCTGGTGAACACAAAGAAAAAGGAGAAAATTAGAATCATAAACACAAGTAAGGTTTGTTGTTGTTGTCATATTTTTTTCTTTTATGTGTAAATTTACCCCTTAAATCTGGACCACTAACTGGTAACCCCTGGGTTACTGCACTGCCTAACCAGTAAGGTGAAAAGATATCAAGCAGCAGGGTTTTTGGTTCAGATGAAAATTCACAATATTAGATATTTACCTTCATAAAATGCAAGAATGTCATCATTTCTTGGCACATTATGACAAAAAAAGTCCTAGCAAATATTGTGATCAGTGAAAAGATTTAGGTATGTAGAGACAAAGATTGTTGAAAGGAGAACAGTCTGAAAGGACTGGCAGTGTATTAAAGACGACACTCAGTGATTTAAAGTATTCAAAGCACATAGAGAAACATAATCACCTATATACCCAAGCATGACACATGATGATAAACACCAGGTGTTTGTTAAAACTGCATCAGTTCTCAGAAATGAGGTATCTAAGAAAAGTGGTCCGGGGGACAAGAACGGTGGTCCAGGGGACAAGAAGGGACGAAGTTTACAACCAGACAATACAACATTACTTTAAAATCCAAGCCTTACAGATGTGTGTGGATCAGTCACAGTAACGATGGTTTTGATATGTACGCAGACGGAAGAGAATTGACCACCACAACAGGCATGGAAGGCAAAGAACTAGGGAACTAGACCAGCAGGACAACCCAGGGTTCACTATGATGACAACATCCGAGAGTCACTGACTGACAGAGGTCCTGAATGGAACAAGCCTAAAAAGAAAACTACTGCTAGATAAGTCTGGCAGTCTCTTTGGCAAACCTTAACACCCTATGGTAGAAGAAGAGTCATCATCATCATGTGCCCTGCCAACTGACGTAGGCACTAATTCGTCTCCACAGATCACGATCCCTGGTTGCATGGAACAACTCTCTTAATGATATCCCTCCATGCAATCATTTCAGCCCATCCAGCATCATCTCTCTTGGTCTGCCTCTACCCCTTTTTACACTGATCTTTCCAGTTGTCACGATGTTCTCCAATGTCTCTCTTCTCATTATGTGGCTGAAGAACAGTGTTTGTCTCTTTCTTATTGTTAAATATAGAGATCTACTTTTATTTTCTTCTTTTAAGCAATTGTTGTTAGTTACTATGGCCATCCAAGGTATTTGTAAAATTTGTCTCAGAAACCACACATATTTGTTGCTTCTAAATTCTTCCAAATTTGTTCACTGACATTCCAAGATTCACTGCCATACAGCAGAACAGGTTTTATGTAACATTTTAGCACCCTCTTTCAGGCATTAAATGAGAGCGATTTATTGCATAAGATATTTTTCATTTTCTGAAATGCAGCTTTCAGCAGAAGAGTGACTAAATAAAATGCATGTTTCTTAAAATTACCTAGAAAACCCACTCTCTTTGTTATAAACTATATGAATGTAACATTTCTGTTTTCAGTTGGAGACTCAAATGGAATGCTGTTTGCACGAAGATATTTTCAGTGCCCTCCAAACCATGGGGTCTTTGTTAGATCTGATAGGTTAAGGTTTATACCAAGCATGCGATGGTAAGTGTTTGTTCCTTCCATCTATCCACATCCTCTATCTATGAACAGCCAATGCAGTTTTTCATTTACAAAATTACATCCACCAAAAAATTATCTGTCACAGTGATGGTGTAAAAGAAATCAAAAAGTGACTAAATATAGCAATGCAGAGGTTAAACAGCCTAGAGGACATATGCAGACACATAAAAGTATTCATTTTGAGAATACACATCTTTTCATTGCCAACATACATTGTGAATTGTGAATTACCGACAAATCTTTCATAAGAATGTTAACTCTTTGAGTCCCAAGGAACGCATCATACGTTCATAGATTCCTACCTAAAAGCCCAATGAACCCATGTTGCTCTGATTTTACATCTCTTTTGACTACCCCTTGGGCCTGTGATGCTAAACCCCCTGGGACTCAAAGAGTTAAGAACAATGTGTATCTGAAAAGGAACTTTTTCACATTCAAAAAGATCTGAATATGAAAAAAACAGGCTCTAGCATAGCATCATGTCTCCCAAAAACCAAAAAGAAACCGCAGTATTTAGTTTGAGAATGGAAGTTGTGGCAGTCACAGCAGCTTTACGCTGGCTTGAGAAACAGCTACACACACACACACTTCGACATTGTGACTGACTTACAAAACATGTTCAGAAAGATGGGAACAGGTATGTAGCCAGCATCGCTTTAGATGTCCTGAGTAGTTAGCATTCTTTGGATATTTTCTCCAAGGTATGAAGGAATATTGAAAAATGAACAGGCAGACAGATTGGCTGTTTAGGCATCAATGGGTGGTGAGTTTTTGCATGACCAGCTAGAGGTGGTCAAGACTCTTTGAGAGTAGGTCAGCAATGTTCAGGCACCAGCAGATCATTATGGTCTGTAAAGAAGGGTATACAGCCAGGAATTACCAGGGGATTTGATCAAGTCAACACTCTACACTTAGATTTACACAAATGTTGGTGGATGACAAACATAATGATGATCAAGTGTGTCAAGTTTTGTGAAAGACTTTAAACATAGAATAAATCTTTTGCAAAAACACCATTTGTTTCCTATTTCAGTGCTTGTTTTGTAATTCTCTGCTCATTTCATCTCAGAGTGTACCCAATATATCTCCACCCTATATTGTCTTATTGCAGTTGATACAAGTATTTGTCCAGTGGGAGGAAAAGAGGAGTTAAAGAAACACATGCCTGGAACTGAAGCATATGAAACATCACATTGGTTTATAAATAACAGTATGGAAAGCATCATTGAAGACAAGGCAGGCATCAGACTACATGAACAGTAAAACATAAACCATTGAAGACAAGGCAGACATCAGACTACATGAACAGCGAACATAAACCATTGAAGACAAGGCAGACAGCAGACTACATGAACAGCAAACATAAACCATTGAAGACAAGGCAGACATCAGACTACATGAACAGCAAACATAAGCCATTGAAGACAAGGCAGACAGCAGACTAAATGAACACCAAACATAAACCATTGAAGACAAGGCAGACAGCAGACTACATGAACAGCAAACATAAACCATTGAAGACAAGGCAGACAGCAGACTACATGAACAGCAAACATAAACCATTGAAGACAACCTGGACATTAAATTGCAGGAAGCAGGAAAATTATCAAAAGATACAGATTGATGTTCTACAAAGGACTCGCTGCACATTTGTACAATCTTTCTTGGAGATGGCCATCTTCAAAATATTGATCTGTCCTTAAGAATAATTGAATATTAAACAATGAAGTGAAGGACTCTTTTAACGTCTTTAGTTTATGGGCATTTAGTGATAGACCTGTATTTCTATAAACCAATCAACACTCAGTGGGTTATGGGGCTAGCATCTTGCCAAGTGCCTTTACTTCCCTGGACTTTACCTAGTGCTTGTTTTAGCCTGTGTCAACCTGGAAGTCAAGGTCATTTTTGAAGAAAAAAAAACTGCCCTCATGCGGATTTGAACCCTAGACCTTCAGTTTCACATGAGAGCTTTAAGCCCACTACCTTACCACAGCTCCCAGAAGAATGATGAATATGATCAGCCTCATATGTTAGGCTCCTTTTGAGAATGATTTGATTTTATCAGCCTCAGATACTGGCCCTTCATCAGCTTCAGATACTGCCCTTACATTAACGATAACATAATACTATTAGCCTTAAATACTGGCCTTCCATTAACGATAACATAATACTATTAGCCTTAAATACTGGCCTTCCATTAATGATGACATAATACTATTAGCCTTAAATACTGGCCTTCCATTAATGATGACATAATACTATTAGCCTTAAATACTGGCCTTCCATTAACGATAACATAATACTATTAGCCTTAAATACTGGCCTTCCATTAATGATGACATAATACTATTAGCCTTAAATACTGGCCTTCCATTAATGATGACATAATACTATTAGCCTTAAATACTGGCCTTCCATTAATGATGACATAATACTATTAGCCTTAAATACTGGCCTTCCATTAATGATGACATAATACTATTAGCCTCAAATACTGGCTTTCCATTAAGCCTGATATAATATTATTAGCCTTAAAAACTGGCCTTCCATTAAGGATGACAAAATATTATCAGCTTCAGATACTGGCTTTCCTTGAAGGATAACAAAATATTATCAGCCTCACACACTGGCCTTCCATCAACGATGATATAATATTATGAGCCTCAGATACTGGCCTTTCATTAATGATGACATAATATTATCAGCCTTAGATACTAGTCTTACATTAATGATGATATAATATTATCAGCCTCAGATACTAGCCTTTCATTAATGATGACATAATATTATCAGCCTCAGATACTGGCCTTCCATTAATGATGATATAATATTATCAGCCTCAGATACTGGCCTTCCATTAAGGATAACAAAATATTTTTAGCCTCAGATACTGGCCTCCCATTAAGGGTGACATAATACTATCAGCGCCTCAGATACTGGCCTCATTAAAGATGATTTAATATTATCAGCCTCAGATACTGGCCTCCCATTAAGGATGACATAATACTATCAGCGCCTCAGATACTGGCCTCATTAAAGATGATTTAATATTATCAGCCTCAGATCCTGGCCTCCCATTAAGGGTGACATAATACTATCAGCGCCTCAGATACTGGCCTCATTAAAGATGATTTAATATTATCAGCCTCAGATACTGGCCTCATTAAAGATGATTTGATATTATCAGCCTCAGATACTGGCCTCCCATTAAGGGTGACATAATACTATCAGCGCCTCAGATAATGGCCTCATTAAGGATGATATAATTTAATCAGCCTCAGATACTGGCACCCCATTAAGGGTGACATAATACTATCAGCGCCTCAGATAATGGCCTCATTAAGGATGATATAATATTATCAGCCTCAGATACTGGCCTCCCATTAAGGGTGACATAATACTATCAGCGCCTCAGATACTGGCCTCATTAAAGATGATTTGATATTATCAGCCTCAGATACTGGCCTCCCATTAAGGATGACATAATACTATCAGCGCCTCAGGTACTGGCCTCATTAAAGATGATTTAATATTATCAGCCTCAGATACTGGCCTCCCATTAAGCGTGACATAATACTATCAGTGCCTCAGGTACTGGCCTCATTAACGATGATATAATATTATCAGCCTCAGATACTGGCCTCCCATTAAGGATGACAGGATATTATCTACCTCAGATACAAGTCTTTGATTAAGGATTTTGTATTTCAAATTTCAATTTGAATGCAATATGTGAGTGTGAACTTTTTATGAACATATTTGCTTTCAAATAAATTTCTTTCACCCTATCCTCAGCCTGTTTGATAGATACCACAGTGTCTCCAGGGCTTCTGATGTTGAAGAATTTTTATTTGATACACCTTGTAAGGAATACATGTCTGTCTGACTGTGTCTGTGTGTATGTGTATGCACATATTTATGTGCTTATACATAAAAAAAAATACATGCCTCTCTCTGTGTCTGCCACTCTCCTGATGTCTTCTCCACTCTCTTGCTCTACTTGTTTGTATCTTCTTCTCCTCTGCTGTCTTCTCCACTCTCTTTGTATACTTGTTTGTATATCTCTCTTCTGCTCTCATCACTCTTCTGTCTCTACTTATGTGTGTCATTTTTTTTTACTTCTCTCTTGCTCTCTCAGTTTGTTTATAATTCTTTCCTCTGCTTTTTCTACCTGCTTCTCTTTCAGAGTCTCTAAACTAACAAGTTGGATAAACTAACAAGAAGAATTAAACTAACAAGTAGGATAAACTAACGTAAAGGACCTTTTCTTATGCCTGTGATGCATCGAGCATTTGGTGCTAGACCTGTGTGTGCGGTCAGTGTACAACTGGCAGCCTTTACTTCATAGGGCACCTGATACCAAGTTTAATCTGGGTCGACCTGGGAGCCAAGGTCAGTTTTGAACAAAAGTCATCCTCGATGCAGATTCCAGTCAGGGAATGCAATCCAACAGGCAAACAAGCATGATAGCATGGTTTAATTATCAATTACCTGTGAGAGAAAAGTCAGAAATGCAAAAATCGGGGGGGGGGGGGGGGGGAGGGCTGGGATTGTGGGGTAAGTGACCAATAAATTTATGGTAAGTAGCATGATAGGGAACTAGTCAAATATGCAAGTGCACTCTCCTGCACCAAGTTATATATTTATTTATTGTTGTTACTTTTCCTCTTTCCAAGTAATAGTGTTATTTAGTTAGTTAGTTAGTTAGTTAGTTAGTTAGTTAGTTAGTTAGTTAGTTAGTTAGTTAGTTAGTTAGTTAGTTAGTTAGTTAGTTAGTTAGTTAGTTAGTTAGTTAGTTAGTTAGTTAGTTAGTTAGTTAGTTAGTTAGTTAGTTAGTTAGTTAGTTAGTTAGTTAGTTAGTTAGTTAGTTAGTTAGTTAGTTAGTTAGTTAGTTAGTTAGTTAGTTAGTTAGTTAGTTAGTTAGTTAGTTAGTTAGTTAGTTAGTTAGTTAGTTAGTTAGTTAGTTAGTTAGTTAGTTAGTTAGTTAGTTAGTTAGTTAGTTAGTTAGTTAGTTAGTTAGTTAGTTAGTTAGTTAGTTAGTTAGTTAGTTAGTTAGTTAGTTAGTTAGTTAGTTAGTTAGTTAGTTAGTTAGTTAGTTAGGTTATCATCATTGCACTCCTGACATGTCCATAGGTGCTTAAATCCTCCCCTCAGTATGAACCCCAACGTCCGATGGCTATTGTTATATTGTCCTACATGGAGACATGGGAATCACCCACACAGGGTGAATGGTGAGTGTGTGAGTGGGACTAGCAAGACCCGCCCACGTCGAGATAAGTCTTCCACAATTAGAGAAGGGAACGGTTAAGTGTATATGGAGAGAAAACAAAATGACTACAGACAGGGTTAAGAGTTTTCTGAGAAGAAGAACATTAAGGACGTGTGATGGCGTGAGTGGAAGTAGAACGTTAAGGATGTGTGTTGGGGTGAGTGGAAGTAGAACGTTAAGGACGTGTGTTGGGGTGAGTGGAAGAAGAACAATCAGGACATGTGCTGGTGTGAGTGGAAGAAGAACGTTAAGGATGTGTGATGGTGTGAGTGGAAGTAGAACGTTAAGGATGTGTGTTGGGGTGAGTGGAAGAAGAACATTCAGGATGTGTGATGGCATGAGTGGAAAAAGAATGTTAAGGACATGTGATGGTATGAGTGGTCATATATTTATTTTAAAATTCCCACATATTTAACATTTCAGACCCTGAGATCAAGAATGGTCCCTATAATCCCATTAAGATCTCTCAGAAAGATATGCAGAGAGTCAGAGGTTCCTTAGGGGGTAAGTATTACAGTGACTGTAGATATTGGTATACCATTTATAAGTGTGCAGTGGCATGCTCTGAACCTGGGGTACAACTAGAAGATGTGAAGTCTTCTTAGAAACTTTTGAGAATGGTGTTATGTCAAACCTGGGGTACAACTAGAAGATGTGAAGTCTTCTTAGAAACTTTTGAGAATGGTGTTATGTCAAACCTGGGGTACAACTAGAAGATGTGAAGTCTTCTTAGAAACTTTTGAGAATGGTGTTATGTCAAACCTGGGGTACAACTAGAAGATGTGAAGGCTTCTTAGAAACTTTTGAGAATGGTGTTATATCAAACCTGGGGTACAACTAGCAGATGTGAAGTCTTCTTAGAAACATTTGAGAATGGTGTTATGTCAAACCTGGGGTACAACTAGAAGATGTGAAGTCTTCTTAGAAACTTTTGAGAATGGTGTTATGTCAAACCTGGGGTACAACTAGAAGATGTGAAGTCTTCTTAGAAACTTTTGAGAACGGTGTTATATCAAACCTGGGGTACAACTAGAAGATGTGAAGTCTTCTTAGAAACTTTTGAGAATGGTGTTATGTCAAACCTGGGGTACAACTAGAAGATGTGAAGTCTTCTTAGAAACTTTTGAGAATGGTGTTATGTCAAACCTGGGGTACAACTAGAAGATGTGAAGTCTTCTTAGAAACTTTTGAGAATGGTGTTATATCAAACCTGGGGTACAACTAGAAGATGTGAAGTCTTCTTAGAAACATTTGAGAATGGTGTTATGTCAAACCTGGGGTACAACTAGAAGATGTGAAGTCTTCTTAGAAACTTTTGAGAATGGTTTTATGTCAAATCTTTGCACCCAGGATTAAAATGCAAACAATAGAGAGTGAGATGCAACAATGAAATTAATAATTTGGGTCATTTGACACAACTTACTGGCATCTTGAAGATTAATAAATTGCAGTGGTTGAGGCATACAGAGAGACCGGCAGGTAACATCATCATCATCATGTAGTAGGTCCTTTGCAGAATGTCGCTCTCATCACGGTCTGCTTGAAAGAAACTGGGTCTCTCGCCAGCTCTCCTGCCTCACGTACTTTCATACTCAAGGAGTCACTTATATCCTGTGCCCATCTTCGTGTTGGTCGGCCCCTGCCCCTCCTTCCTGGTAGCATGCCTTCTGCTGTTTATTTTTTCCCAGTCCGCCAGGGCGCTTGATATGACCAAAATATTTCAGCTTCTCAGACAGGATGCTGTTTATAAGCCACTCTTCCTTGATGTTCAGATCTTTCAAGAACTAAATGGCAGGTAACAAAGAGACCCCCCCCCCCCCCCCCCCCAAAAAAAAAAAAAAAAAAAAAAACTATAAGCATGAAAGAGATGAGTGAGAGTAGACCATGAGGCAGACCAAGAAGTCAGTGGAAAGATAGTGTACGTGCAGACTTACAGACATGTGAGGTCATCAACTGGAAAGAGAAGGCAAGTCACAGAGATGAATGGAGGTGGGTGTTGTCTGCAGCAGTGATCCTTAAGGGCTTGCAATGCTGAGGAAGAAATGGTGGCATACAGGTTGTCTCCCTTGCTGATTCATACGGTGGTTATTTTTCTTCAGTTAAATTTCATCAGTTATATATGTATTCTTCATTCATGCTTTTTACTGGATTTTTTATATCTGCCTGTGGGTATGTCTCTCACTCCCCTCTGTTTCTGTCTGTCTGTCTGTCTGTCTGTCTGTCTGTCTGTCTGTCTGTCTGTCTCTCTCTCTCTCTCTCTCTCTCTCTCTCTCTCTCTCTCTCTCTCTCTCTCTCTCTCTCTCTCTCTCTCTCTCTCTCTCTCTCTCTCTCTCTCTCAGTTTATGTATTTTACAGTTAAGCTTTAGTGTCTCCACATTGCCCGTATCAGACATTTCTTAAATCATAATTCTTCAATGATATTTCTTTCATTCCAGACTACAGTTCAGAATCCGTATGGGAAAAACCAAAACACTACCATCTGCGGCATTCTGTCAGTAACCACATTCCTGCTGCGACAATGTTGAGGCCAGGAACTGCACAAGTTTTGCTCAGGTCCCACCTTGATGTATTAACTATAATTCATAGTGCAAGTAGTAAAGTTTTTTTGTGTGTGTTCAACTGGTAATGTTTTCAGAGTAAGAATTCCTAGTTGCATAAGATAAAAGCAAAAAATAGAAGTATTTTGTTCTTCAGTGTTACTAAGTGGGTGGTATGACTACCTTGAGTTGCATTTTTCATCTAGGCTTCAACATTTGCACCAAGCCCCATCAGACATATGGGCTTTCAGCAATCCCTTATTTAGTCACCGTTTATGACATGTTTGGTAAAGAACAGTGGATCTATTTTTTAGGTGTTCCCCATAATGGAGCTCCAGAATCGACCTGGACTGTTACCTGACACTCGTTTAATACAAGAAGTACTTATCCAGTAAAAAAAATGTGAAATACTGTCTTACTAGCTGATCATGAAGGTTGGTTGATGTAGGTCTCCAACAATCTCTGACTTTCATTATGATTCTCATCTTCAGTATGCTTTTAACAAGAGTGCTATTTGTTTTAATGTTATATGATATATTTCACGTACCCTTTTTCTGTCAGTACTATTTTCTGTCATATTTTCTCCAGAACCATTCCACAGTCAAATCTCAAACACACAGATTCCAAGAGACTAAAAAAAGTCAAGAGTTTATATTAAAAGTATTTATACATCCTTGCTAGGAAAACAATTTTGTTCATGTTAACCGAGTGATCTTCTTTAATGGGTTCATGTTGGTGAGGCTTTGCTGTATTTGTGTTCATGAAATATGGCCTTTTATGCTGTATATCCACATGTGCAGCATTTGCATTCAACTTTCTAATGGTTTATTCATTGTCCAGGCTTTTGCGCCATATAAGGTTCACGACCTCCCAGTTGTTACCAGTGCCCACAAGGGAAGTCAACAAAAGAACAAGTATATTATAGATTATCATGCATGTTGTTGGAACATCGAGGAAAACTGGCTCATAAACAGCATCCTGACCCAAAAGCTGAGGTATTTAGCCCATGTTTGGAGCGAACGGTGATGGAGGGTACAGTTTCCTGTAAATGAGGCAGGGTCAGACCTCCTCCTCCAAGACCTCGGAGATGCATTGGCTATTGAAGCACATAGGGCTGGAGAATTGGCTAGAGAAGGAGAGACTTTTGGATGTGCTGTGATGAGAGCCATGTTCTGTAAGGAACCTGCTGGTTAATGAAAACGAGTGTTGGATGAGTTGACCTTGGAGAACTAGCATGAGACTGGCTGCCTCATATGTTAAAAAACAAAACAAAGCTGCAGACTCCAAACAATCCTGAACAAGTATATGAAGTGCATGGTTTGTGTCGGTTCAAGTCCTGTTCTTCACTGGAAGTTGAAATTCAGAAAAATAATAAAGAAGAGGGGGTAGGATTCAGTATACATTGCTTTTGACAGTTTTCTTTTTGTTTTAAACAAGTAGCCCATATTTCTTCATGCAAGAAAACTAATTGAAACATTTTAAATAAGAACAGGTATGCAACATGGATGCCTTTTTTCACCTCTCCTATTGTTACTGGCAATAGACTGGATTATGAAGACAGCAACTGCTACCACCAGGAATATAATTCAGTGGACCCCTGCAAATCAGCTTGATGATCTCGACTTTGCTAGCAGAATCAGATGCCAGATAATTAAACATACTTGACAACGATTTGGTCTGAAAATACATAAGAAAAAGGTTAGGGCATAAAGGAGAGAAGAATGATAGCCCATAAAAGTAGGGGGGGGGAGGGGGAATGTAAAGATCCCTTTTCACGCCTTGAGCACATCGAACATATGGGAAGAGCACCCCATATTTTTACAGACCAATCAGCACCAGGTGGGTAATGTGGTCAGCATTATGCCGGCTGTCACTACTTCTCCCGGACATCCGTCCTGGTACCCATTTTAGATAGCCCATAAAAAATGTGTAAAACAAATGTTTGGCCAAAGTTAGTTATATGTCCTTTTTTATGACATTGCAGAACCAACCTCAGCATTTTTTTTTTTACTGTTGTGGTTTTTCTAGGCAAATTTACATTTAGCAGTTAACCATTGCCTTCGAATGGTCGGCTCTTGATACCATTGTTGAAACCAATGCAAGGTGGTCTGCTGCCAGATCACTCACAGCTAGGGTCAAACTGGGCACCTTTGTATTATGAAGATCACACGCAATGCCTGAGCTACAGACAACAACAATCTGACCAGCTGATCATTATATCCCTCAGGTCCCTATCAAGACCCATCCACGCTGACTACTGGAAGGATGATGATTTTGAGAGGAAACCAACCATCCCCAAGATACACATGCCTCATTCAGCTCTGAAGGAACAAGTTAGTGCAGTCCCTGCTTGTGTTGATTGTGAAACATTAATTATCTTTAGTGTACCTCACATTTATAGATTAAATTAAAAGTCCAAGTCAACTGTTATTTGAACTTTCTAAAGTTTAAAGGTTAAAAGTCGAGAGGATCAGCTTCATTGCACCAGGTTGTCTCCCACGTGGCTTGGTTTTTCTTCACAAAACGCCTGCTAAGAGTATTTCACAAAGCACAAACACCACAGCTCTGGTAATCATTCCCATGGATCACTGTAAAAATAACACTCATGAACCGAATGGCGCAGCTGGGAAATGAACATATGATCTTCAGAGCTTGAGGCAAACGGCTTGACCACTTTACCACAGAGACCTCCATTTTTTTTTAACTCCATGCCCAAGCCTGATGTTACTTTAACTCTCTTTCATTACAGTTTTATTGAAATCTCTTTTGTGACAGTTGTTACTTAACTCTCTCTTTCATGACACTTGTTACGCTGTCACTTTCTATCCAAGACAATTGTACCTTTGATTCTCTCTGTTCAGGAACATTGTTATATTGATTCTTTATGCACAAGACAATTATTACTTTTACTCTTTCTACTCTTACTATTGTATCACTCCTCCTGCCCTCATCACTTGTTATTTTATCTCTCTCTGCCCAAGTATGTTGTTATTTTATCTCTCTCTGCCCAAGTATGTTGTTATTTTATCTCTCACTACCCAAGTATGTTGTTATTTTATCTCTCTCTGCCCAAGTATGTTGTTATTTTATCTCTCTCTGCCCAAGTATGTTGTTATTTTATCTCTCTCTGCCCAAGTATGTTGTTATTTTATCTCTCTCTGCCCAAGTATGTTGTTATTTTATCTCTCTCTGCCCAAGTTTGTTGTTATTTTATCTCTCTCGCCCAAGTAAGTTGATATTTTATCTCTCTCTCTCTCTGCCCAAGTCAGTTGTTACTTTATCTCTCTCTGCCACACTTTAATTCTTTCTGCCACAAGTAGTTTACTTCAAAGTAATGAATCTTTAAATCAAGGGGGAAAGAAGGTTTCAGAATAACACTGTCGAGCAGAAGAAGTTGAAGTAATAAATTCAGATAAACTAAATTAACAAAGGAACTATGTCAGACAAAAGAATTTAACTCTTTTAATACCAAAGAACAGATAAATTAGTTTTTAAATCAATGCATGATGCAGTTCTTGGCACTGAAGGGGTAAAGAAAGTTGATGAACTCGTACAGACTGACTGCTCTTTTCCCCCCTCTGGTACCTGAAGATTTGACTCCTCTGCAGCTTAGAGTCCCATCCCAGATATCATTTCAAGAAGATCCTAAGGTTATGGGGCCAAGCCCGTGCCTAAGGTTATGGGGCCAAGCCCATGCCTAAGGTTATGGGGCCAAGCCCATGCCTAAGGTTATGGGGCCAAGCCTGTGCCTAAGGTTATGGGGCCAAGCCCGTGCCTAAGGTTACGGGAATTAAATGGAATGATAGAATAACTAATTTGGAACTTTAGCAGAGAACTAATAAACAAGTTCCAGTGAGTCAAGAGGTGAAGAAAAGATGCTGGTGTTGGATAGGACACACACTGAGAAAACCTGAGAACAACATAACTAGAATGTCTTTATGCTGGAACACACAAAGGTATAGAAATGAAGCCAGACCCAGGGGCATGTGATGAGCTACATGCGATAGCAAAGGATAGGGCGACTTGATGTGACAGGGTCTATGCCTTTTAGGAGATAAAGGGAGGAAGAAGAAGAAGAACAAAAAGTATATGATGAAGAAGATGAAGATGAAGAAGAAGAAGAAGATGAAGAAGAAGATGACAAAGAAGAGGAAGACAAAGAAAAAGAAGATGAAGAAGAAGACGAAGAAAAAGAAGAAGAAGAAGAAGAAAACTAAGAAGAAGAAGAACACTAAGAAGAAGAAAAAGATGAAGAAGAAGAAGAAAAAGATAAAGAAGAAGAAGAAAAAGAAGAAGAAGAAGAAGAAAAAGATAAAGAAGAAGAAGAAAAAGATGAAGAAGAAGAAGAAAAAGATAAAGAAGAAGAAGAAAAAGATGAAGAAGAAGAAGAAAAAGATAAAGAAGAAGAAGAAAAAGAAGAAGAAGAAGAAGAAAAAGAAGAAAGAGGTAGAAGAAGGAGGAGGAGAATAATAATAATATATAATTACAACAGAGATTGTTGCTCACTGTGGGTTGAAAAAAAACTTTTCTTGAAAAATTATCATAATGTGGGAATGAGTGATAATGTCTAGAGTGCAGTAGCTAAATTAAATTATAATTCTTCAACAGTATTCCGAGCCCTTGAGGTTTAATGCTGCAGATTCATCTTTCTGGTTTGCCTTCTCTTTCCAGTTGGTGACACCAAGAGTTTGCAGGTTTGATTGGATATTATTTCTCCATCGTCTTCTTGGTCTGCCTCGTGGTCTACGACCATTCATCTCCCTGGTAAATACAGTTTTTACTTCTGTCATCTGACATTCTTTCAGTATGCCCTAACCATTTCAGTAGATTAAATTAGTTTATTTAATTAATTCATTCAGTTTGCTGTTTAAACTTTGTCTGTCCTCAGGTTCGAAGAGGATGGCAAGGGGCTCACTATGTGCGGGAGATGACAGTTCCCACGGGGAGAGACAAGATCAAGTTCTCTCAGTGGAATGATATTTCACCATAAAATCTGTAACCACGGTCTTGGGTAATGACTACCTGAGGCAAGCCAGTTCTGAAACTTTATGATTAATCTTTTACTAGACAAGGCCAGTGAGATGTTGACCACATTGGTGCCTGTTAATACACCTACCAAAAAGTTGGTTTAAAAAAAAATATCCTTACTTTTAATGCGAATGGTTCATCGGTCCTGTTTTGTGGATTTTTATCATGGTACGGGGCGTTGCAGGTCGACCCAGCCTAAAATGGGTACCAGGATGTATGTCCTGGGGAAGTAAAAGACGGCCGGCGTAATGCTGACCACATTACCCACCTAGTGCCGATTGGTCTATAAAAATATGGGTGGCTTTCCCAGATGCCTGATGTACCAAAAGGCATGAAAAGGGATCTTTATTTATTTTTTATTTTTTTACTTACACCAGTCCTGTGGTGCTACACTCGTATAATTATTGATCAAGTGGAACTTTTTTTTTTTTTTAAATGTGGTCAGCATTATACCAGGCACCTTGTCTTCACATTACTTTACCTGCTACCCATTTAAGGCTGGGTCAACCTAGGAGCCAAAGTCATTGTTGGGGGGAAAAAAAATCTTATCCCATATATTTTCAAACCCATGACCTTTGGGCTTGAAGGTGAGAATCTAGCTGCTACACCATCACAGCTCCCACCTAAGCAATTATTATGGTGTCTAAAACATGTTGCTGTCCATGAGCCAGTCATGTTTCTACTTGTTTACAAAGACAGAAAGATTGTCTCAGAAATGTGTATTTTTATTTATTCTTCTCCTTGAAGTCCTTGTCATGTGATGTTGTTATCAGGCCTGGCCAGTCTTCTGTGTAATGTATGTCTATGCTCATTATGGCCATAATATTCTTTCGTACATTCATCTAGTAGAAGTAGTAATTTTACACACACACACACATAAATCCTGTTCAACCCTTATGGTTTTAATTGAGATATGAAGTGTTCCTCAGTTCCCAGAGTATATATATTTGTTATTTTATTGTAATTGTTATATATTGTAATTATTTATTTAGAACAGTTATATAATTTGTATTGTTGTTTCAAGTATTGCTTTGTTTACACATTTTCTGGCTGTGATAAAGATAGAAATTGTATTGTGAATATTTAGATAATGCATTCATCTGTTTAAGTGAATTCACTTACTGGTGCACTCATATGTGTGTTTGTTCAAGCCTGTTAATCCTCAACGTACTTATGTATGTATGTATGTATGCTAATTAATTCTTGTTGTGTTCACATCAGCACATTTTAACATTGTTCACACGCACAAGCTTGTTCTGATGCAAATGAAGTTTGATAATGCAGTTTGCAAAATGTACCGCTGAAAATTGTGCTTAGTCTTGAGATTAGCCCATGTTTAACATCTGCATAGATATAGTTACGGATCACACTGATAGTACAGTCTTTAAATTAGCCAATGTTTAACATCTACACAGATAAAGTTACAGATCACACTGATAGTTCAGTCTTTAAATTAGCCCATGTTTAACATCTGCATAGATATAGTTACTGATCACACTGATAGTACTGTCTTTAAATTAACCCTTGTTTAACATCTGCATAGATATAGTTACTGATCACACTTATAGTACTGTCTTTAAATTAACCCTTGTTTTAACATCTGCATAGATTGTTACTGATCACACTTAGAGTACTGTCTTTAAATTAACCCTTGTTTAACATCTGCATAGATATAGTTACTGATCACACTTATAGTACTGTCTTTAAATTAACCCTTGTTTAACATCTGCATAGATTAGTTACTGATCACACTGATAGTACTGTCTTTAAATTAGCCTATTTTAACATCTGCATAGATATAGTTACTGATCACAGTGTTTTAACATCTGCATAGATATAGTTACTGATCACACTTATAGTACTGTCTTTAAATTAACCCTTGTTTAACATCTGCATAGATATAGTTACTGATCACACTGATAGTACTGTCTTTAAATTAACCCTTGTTTAACATCTGCATAGATATAGTTACTGATCACACTTATAGTACTGTCTTTAAATTAACCCTTGTTTAACATCTGCATAGATATAGTTACTGATCACACTGATAGTACTGTCTTTAAATTAGCCTATTTTAACATCTGCATAGATATAGTTACTGATCACACTGATAGTACTGTCTTTAAATTAACCCTTGTTTAACATCTGCATAGATATAGTTACTGATCACACTTATAGTACTGTCTTTAAATTAACCCTTGTTTAACATCTGCATAGATATAGTTACTGATCACACTGATAGTACTGTCTTTAAATTAACCCTTGTTTAACATCTGCATAGATAAAGTTTGATCACACTTATAGTACTGTCTTTAAATTAACCCTTGTTTAACATCTGCATAGATATAGTTACTGATCACACTGATAGTACTGTCAAATTAGCCTATTTTAACATCTGCATAGATATAGTTACTGATCACACTGATAGTACTGTCTTTAAATTAACCCTTGTTTAACATCTGCATAGATATAGTTACTGATCACACTGATAGTACTGTCTTTAAATTAGCCCATGTCTAACGTCTACACAGCTATAGTTACTGATCACACTAATAGTACTGTCTTTCATTTAGCCTATTTTTAACATTTGCATATAGTTACTGATCAGACTGATAGTACAGTCTGTAAATTTAAAGACTGTATTATCAGTCTGATCAGTAACTATATCTATACCGATGTTAAAAATAGGCTAAAATTGGCCCATGTTTAACATCTACTACACAGATGTAGTTACAGATCACACTGATAGTACACAGCCTTTATTTCGGCCTATTTTTAACATCTGTATAGATATAGTTACTGATCAGACTGATAGTACAGTCTATAAATTAGCCCATGTTTAACGTCTACTACACAGATATAGTTACAGATCACACTGATAGTAAAGCCTTTATTTTGGCCTATTTTTAACATCTGTATAGATATAGTTACTGATCAGACTGATAGTAGTCTTTAAATTAGCCTTTTTTTACAGATTACACTGATAGTACAGCTTTTATTTTGGCCTATTTTTAACATCTGTATAGATATAGTTACTGATCAGACTGATAATACAGTCTTAAAATTAGCATATTTTAACATCTGCATAGATATAGTTACTGATCACACTGATAGTACTGTCTTTAAATTAACCCATGTTTAACATCTACACAGATAAAGTTACTGATCACACTGATAGTACAGTGTGTAAATGAGCCCATATTTAACGTTCCACACAGATTTAGTCTTATTGTTTGGTGTTATTGTTCAACCATTTGGTCCTTTCAATAATTATGGCCTAGGAATATTAACCCTGTCTACTTCACAGTGTACAAAGCTTGAAAGGCTTTGAAATGAAGGAGTGAGAATTGTCGTGGGTTGCACACAAGATACACCAAATAGAACAATGGAGTATATGCTTGGGCTGATATAAGTAAAGTCTATACTGTCACTGGTGCAAGCCAAGGCTTGTATGGGAGTTACCAATTATGAAAGGTATCCGCTGCATGGTAATCCGAATGATTTAAAAGGAGACTGGTTGAAAAGAGGAAAGTCATGGATGGCACTAGCTGAAGATGCCATAGAGATGGCAGCCTTGGTCAAGCAAATACAAGGGGGCAGGAATGGGTCTACACAAACAACCATAACAGCAGCTTCCATCAGCTCATTATCACCACAGGAAGTGAATGTAGAGAGTGGTGTAACGGTATGGCAGAATTAGAGGTACAACTGATAGATGGAAAGGCTGGACTAGATGATGCAGTAGTTTGAGGTTTGAACAACGAATCAAGTGTACACCGATGATTCTGTTCATTGGGGTGTAAGATCTGGCTAGGGATTTTTAGCAAGAATGAAGACAAAGGTTGTGGTAGAACAAAATGGAGCTTTTTTATCTACAACTTCAAGTCTGAGAATGGAAGTGGAGGCAATCACTGCGGCTCTGAATTAAAAAGCAGAAAACAAAGTTACCAGAGGAATGATTGTGTCTGATTCTCAGATGGCACTGTAGAAGGTTCAAAATGGTCTAATGTGGCGTGAGTGGATACCATGCATAAGTATGCCAGCCTTGCAAGGAATCAGTGGATATACTGTCTGGGATATGCAGGAGTACAAGGGAATGAAAGAGCAGATTTTCTGGCTACAAAAATGAAAGCTACGGGAACACTTGTACTGGACAAGTGAGATATTCTGAAGACCATATATGAATGACTGTTGACAGAAAACACGAGATTACATGAAGTAACATGTGTGAGAATGTGTGAACAAAGAATTAAGTGTGGATCCGGCAAGGAGGGGTGGATGAGATGAAGAGAACGATGTGAGTATAATCAGTGTGTTGCAGGAACAGTTAGCATCTACAACTTAGACATTTGCTGCCGGAGACGGAGCATTTATGGGTATGCCCGGCGTGTTATGAGGTTGATTCCTTAATCAGTGAACACATTTAGTTACTGATTACACTAATCATTCAGTTTAGACTTTTTTTTTTAAACTCGGATCAACATCATAGCACTTGGGTAGTAACCCATAATTGCTCTGTAATTCTTGTAACTCAAGTCTGAGTCCGAAGAAGCTCAGCACAGTGCACAGGCTCTGTAGCACTGGCAAGGATCCTGGAATACTTTGGGTAGATTTTTAACATCAAATTTTGCCCGGGCATCACCGTTAGACTACTCCGTTCGATTTCCAACTGTCAAGGGATTTTTTACATGCGCAATAATACACACAGGCGTCTGATCTCACTACCCAGAGACCATGGGGAATTACTAGAAGTCCAAGTCCACGTGAAAAAATCCCAGCCCTTACCAGGGATTGAACCCGGAACCTCTAGCACTAGATATAGTTACAGATTACACTGATAGTACAGTCTGTGAATTAGCCCATTTTCAACACCAACCCAGATATAGTTACAGATCACACCGACAGTGTGTGCCTCTAAGACACTTGGACAACACACTTCAGATTTATAGATATATATTTAGG